AGGAAGGGTGAGATTTTAGCTCTGAGCTCTGACCTCTCGGCTTTCTCTTTTACATTGTTTCTGTGTTTCTTATTTAATAAGACGGTTGGTTACATCTACAAGAGACCATATAGCCCAGGGACCTAGGGTAAAACCAAACATTACTAGTCTGAAAAAAAGGTATCAAAAAGTGACTACTAATAATATTCTGCTATACTTATTGAGCAGTGCTGTATTCAGTCACCATCAGAGAAACTCCCTTCTGCAGTAGACAGGAAAAGATGTAGAGACTTTACACACAGAGAGAGTGCTTGCAACACACAGCTCTAAATGGGGTGTCTTTATCAAATCTCTTCCCTCAAAACTTAGGGAACCCCGTGGAAGAGGAGATGGAAAGAGCCAGAGGAGATAGAGGACACCAGGAGAACAAGGCAGTCGGAACCAACTAACCAAGGCACATATGAGCTCACAGAGACGGAAACAGCAAGCACAGGTTCTACGTGGGTATATACCAGGTCCTTTGCATATAAATATTATAGCTTTCAGATTTTTATGGGACTCCTGAGTATGAGAATGAGTGGGCCTCTGATTCTTGTGCTTACTCCTGGGGCTCTTTTCCTTCCATTAGGTTGCCTTGTCGAGCCTCAATATGTTTTTTTGTTTCATCTTATTATATTTTATTTTGTCATGATTAGCTATTATCTCCTAGATGCCTTTTCTTTTCTAATGAGAGACAGAAAGATTATGGTTCCAGAAGATCGGAGAATAGGGGACGTGGTGATATTGTGTTTCCCAATATATTGTGCACACTAATAATCTTACCTGGGGTCAGAGAACAGAACAGCCACTAGACAGACATAGAAGCCACAAAATGGTGGCACACATACGTTTAATCCTAGCATTCTGGAGGCAGAGATCCATCCAGATCAGATCTCTGTGAGTTCAAAGCCACACTGGAAACCACCAGGCATGGTGACACACACCTTTAATCTCCGGAACTGATGGCAGGAAGCAGAAAGGTAAATAAGGCATGAGGACCAGGAACTAAGTTTTTTTAAGCCTTTAGGCTTTTAGCAGCAGTTCAGCTAAGATCCATTCAGAAGAGGACACAGAGGCTTCCAGTTTGAGGAAACAAGATCAGCTGAGAAGTTGACAAGGTGAAGTTGGATGTGGCTTGTTCCATTTCTCTGATCTCCCAGCATTCACCCCAATTCCTGGCTCTGGGTTTGTTTTTATAAGAAGACCTTTTAAGATTCCTCTATAAGGGGAGGTGAGGAGCCGTTCTGAGAGCAGTGCATGGAGGGGAGACTGGAATTAGGACATAGTGTATGAGAAAAGAATCTATTTTCAATACAAGGAAAAGACAAAGATAGTAAAATTTTTTGTCTTAGGAATTATCTGTTTTTTTTTTTTTTTTTTTTTTTTTTTTTTTGAGACAGGGTTTCTCTGTGTAGTTTTGGTGCCTGTCCTGAATCTCGCTCTGTAGACCAAGCTTGAACTCACAGAGATCCACCTGGCTATGGTTCCCGAGTGCTGGGATTAAAGGTGTGCGCCACTACCGCCTGACCGTTTTTTTTTAAAGAGATTTTTCTATTTTACATACCAACCACAGATTCCCCTGTCCTCCCTCCTCCTGCCTCCCAGCGTTCCCCCATAACCCAACCCCCATTCCCACCTCCTCCAAGGCAAGGTCTCCCATGGGGAGTCAGCAGAGCCTGGTACATTCAGTTGAGGCAGGTCTAAGCCCCTCTTCCCTGCACCAAGGCTGTGCAAAGTGTCTCAGCATAGGCACTAGGCTCCAAAAAGCCAGCTCATGCACTAGGGACAGGTCCCAATCCCACTACCTGCCTGGGGGCCCCCTAAACAGTTCAAGCTAAACAACTGTCTCACTTATCTAGAGGTGGCCAAGTGGTTAAGGAGATGGACTGCAAATTTTTAGTTTTAAATAATAATGTTCACTATGTAGAAAGTTCTAGTGCCACATTATCTCAAAATTTAGGGGTTTTTTTTTGGTTTTGTTTTTTTTTGTATTAGTTTCAAGAACTTGAGGGTACTTTAAATGTTTTGAAAATGTTTACCTCTACAGTGAAAAGAAAATTACTTCTATGAGCTATTTTCTCTGGAAAGATGTTAAAACATAGGTAACTACTAAGTATCCAAGAATAGTTTTTCACAAAATGAAATTTGTAACTGACATTGTAAATGAATAAAAGCCTGAAGCCCTGTTATACAGCTAGCTCCCAGTGAGTGAAAAAGGAAAACTGGGTACTTTTTATAGTTGATTTCCTGTAACAATAGAGATAGAAATTTGTTGTTGAGGGTTTGGATAGTGAGAGGAAAAGCTAATTCAAAAAGGTTCAGAGCTTAGGGGAAGAACTTAATGCTGAAGTACTATGTTAATTACAGAGTCCACTTAATGACTTTAAAGAAAAGCTTCATTGGCCAGGGGATGGGAATATTAAAATATTGATGAAGAGAGACCTCCGCTATAGACTGAACATCCCAACAACTTAGTGGCAGGCTAATTTAATCAGATATAAAAGTCGTGTGTGTGTGTGTGTGTGTGTGTGTGTGTGTGTGTGTGTGTGTGTGTGTGTGTGTGTGGGCAAGAATGCAATGTGGGGTGTCTTCTTTCAATTGTTTTCCATTTTGTTTTTACAGAGTCTCTCACTGAACTTGGAGTTCACTGATTTGCCTAGACTAACTGGCCAGTAATCCCCAGAATACTCCTCACTCTGCTTCCCTACCACTGGGATTATAAACTCATGACTTCATGCCCAGCTTGTCTTTTATTTTTTGTTTGTTTGTTTGTTTGTTTGTTTTTGTTTAACTAATGTGGACACTGGGTCTTAAATTCATGGATATATGGCAAGCATTTTAAATACTGATTCATTTCTCCAGCCCCCTCTATAATTTTTTTTTTTTTGGTTGTATACTTTATTCTGGACATTCAATTCTTTGCCTCTGTCACTGGGCCTTTATTGTTATATTTTAACCCTTCTCTTACCCATATACTTTCAGGTCAGTAAGAACTTTGTTTATAGGTCTCAAACTCTAGCAGACAAATGGAATACTCTTATTTTACAGATTGACAGTTGACTTATCCTTCTTGTTCAGGTTTTCATTATTTTATTAATTTTAATTATTAAATTTTAATAATTAATTTTAATTTATTTATTATGTGTGTATGTGAGGGAATGTACATGTGTTATAATATACATGTGGAGGTCAGAGGAAAACTTTTGGGAAATGGTTCTCTCTTTCTACTATGTGGGTCCTGGGTATTGAACTAAAGTCATCAGGTTTGGTGGAAAGCATCTTTACCTTCTGAGCCAACTCTCTGACCCAATAGGCTTCTTGTTTTTTAATTTTTTTTTTATCAATTCTTTGGGAAGTCCACACAATGCACCTCAACACCACTCATTTCCAGTCCTTCCACATCTGCCCTCTACTCCTGCAACCTCCCCCTGGAAAGAAAACAAAAGACAAAAGAAAAATGAACATTTTGCTGACCCCTCTGAGCATGACCTGCACCTCTAGTTCCTCTGTCCATGTACCATTCTGATTCTGTCTCTCTCTCCTCTACATCACATCTACATCACATACTTCCTCTTCATAGTCTCCCCACCATAATTTTTTTTAATAAACTAAGTCTTCTATCTAGATGAATCAAAAGGAAGGGACTGGAGCAGTGTTTGAAGTCAAAGGGAACTTCAGGAAGCTGAAGGCATGGAAAAAATTGGGTGTATTGAAAGGAGTCTGGATAAATACATTCTTACCTAGTACTAACATGTACTAGAGACCTTAAGAAACTCAAAGAACACAACTGGCCTTATCAAAACATGTCAGACAGAGACAGACTGCATGAGATGGTTAGTGTTGTCAAATCTATGAAATCTACAATCACCTGGGAGAAGGGTCTTGGAGAACATCTGTAGAGATTATTTTATGTTAATTTATGTGGTGTGTTGTACCATTTCCCTGGACTTGGGATCCGAGACTGTCTACAATTATAGAGAGCCAGATGATCGCTGGCATGCATGGATTAATTCATTGCTTTCTATTCTTGACTGTGGATGTGATGTTGAGCTGCTCCAAGGTCCTGCTGCCTTGACTTCTCATCCTTGATGGACTATATCCCTGAACTGTGAGCTGGAACAAATGCTTTCTCTCCTAATTTTGTTTTGTCAGGGAATTTTATCATAGCAACCAGAAAATAAACTAAGAGTCTTCCCCTTTCAAGGGCTGGATTTCTTGCTAAGGGGGAAAACTCATTAGTCCTCAGTATTTATCTGTGAGCACAAGGACCTTATGCCCTTTACAATGACTGGTCCTTTGTGATGTGTTAAGAATTTTGTGTGAGAGTAATACACAAATCCCCCAATAGCATTACTATCTGGGGACCAAGTTTCCAACTGTCTGTGGAAGACAGTTACACTCAATTAGCATAGGCCTAGCCTTCCTTGAGGCAAAGTTGATCAGTTGCTGACCCTGTATATTTGGCCAGGTTCTGTTTTCATTATCTCTGGCCCAGGGATATTTGTTGTTCTTTCTCAAGCAGAGGCTGAGGTTCTAACACTCGCCCACTCAAATGCCACAGTCTCAGTGGTCCGAGATCTATCAGGGTTTCTTATCAGCCTAGAACATTGGAAAGAGGCAAGAAGAGTCTTGGCATCTACTTTTCTCTCTTTTATTTCTGATAACAATGCAGAGAATTGTGACACATTTTAATAAATTAACATTTTATAGAACTGAGATATTTTACTAGATAATTATTAAGGTTAACACAAACCTGAAAAAATGCTGACTTTATTTCTCATAGCATATGGCAAAAGACTCACATTTCACTAACAGAGAAATGAAATAAGTTACCTGCGTAATAGCATTGGGCATTACCTCCCCCAACTAGAAAAAATATCACTGAAGCAATTACACTTAGAAATGGGGGTTGCAAATGTATTAATGGAATTTGTACTGAATGTCTTACCCATTATTGCCACTTAAAGAAAATGAAGGATTAGCTGTTATAGTTACTTTTATGGTTAAAATGTATGAAAACAAATAATCAACTACCTGAAAAATAGGTAGAAAACTACTTAGAAGCTATAACATCACCTTCAGAAAAAAATTTCTAAGAATTACTTAGAAGCTATAATATCACCTTCAGCAAACAATTTGCCAAAGGTACAGAAGAATCAGACACATTCAGTCATGATGAATATATTTTGCTTTACATATATACATTGCTCAATAGAATTAGTTTATTGGACAGATTTCTATGATAGGCATTGTGCTAATTGCTGAGTCCTGAAATGATGAAGTTATGTCTCAGTCTCTGTGAGCTTCCATGTAGATGAGAAATATACAGTAATATCTATTTAGTGTGATACTTATTAATAGAGGGTTGTACTCTGAGTTATTTCAGCAACTTCATTACCCTCAAGAGCAATAGCACAATTTGTTGTTGGGAACGTTTTCAGAGTTAATGAGGTGAATAAAGTTTCATGGTTGATAACGATGGAATTATGGCCTTGTTTTACAAAACTACCATGCTGTTATTATCATAAGGCTAGTCTATATTGATCTGTGAGTAAACTGTCCTCTTAATAATGTAACTGGTATCTATGATTTCTATGTTTTGTAGACTTTCTAGAGGACTTTCTAAAAGTATTTTTAAAATTTTGAAAACTGTATCAAAAATTGTTATTAAAATTTTGCCCCTAAATTCTCTAGGCAAAATATATGTTTATGATTATGCTGATGGGAAGAGGGCACTCAGGAGGCTCTAGACCAGTGGTTCTCAACCTTCCAAATTGTGTGAACCTTTAATACAATTTCTCATGTTGTGGTGACCCCTAACCATAAAATTATTTTTGTTGCTACTTCATAACAGTAATTTTGTAACTGTTATGAATTTCATGTAATTATCTATGTTTTCTGATGGTCTCTGGTGACCTGTGAAAGGTTTGTTGGATCCCCAAAGTGGTTGCAACCTACAGTTTGAGAACCACTGATCTAGACTCTGTAGGACTACAAGACCTAGAGAGCTAGACAAGAATGAAATGTTTGAACCACCAAGTTCACTGGCACTAGACAGTAAGGTAAAATCCTCCTGTCAAAGATTCTACAAAGCTTGCCAGGCTCAACCCAACAACATGGCACTACAGTGAATTCTCTGTGGCAACCTTACAAAGAGAAATCATGCAACCTGGCCACTGATAGAGAAGTCAATGTGTTGAGCTCTTAAAGAAGGAAAATGAGGATATACTTTGTAGCAACAAAAGACATGTTGCTTCTCCAAGTGCTTTAAAGACTGAATTTAAAACAATTTTAAAGCAAGAATTCAAGTTCTCATCACAGATGGCAAAGTTACTTTCAGTATTAGCAACAATTTCTAAGGTAACTTTTTGGAATCAGTATAGTATAGTAATTCTTTGTCCCTGAAAGCACTGAACTATAAACTCTAAGACAAAAATCATGTGTCTGAAATGTTTAAGGTAGAAAAACTTTCTCCATATTTTATTCCAAGATTATTTTCACTTTTATGCATATCTCTAACTTATAAGAATTAACATTTTGTAAATGAACATCTAACTGAGTAAAAATATGAAGAGAAGAACCAAAACCTATATGAATTGTTATTATTTCCCTGACATAGTACTTATGTCAGAGGTGGTGATTGCCTACCTTTATATCTTAAAATTTAAAGTATGTTTATAGATTATATTTGATGACCTAGTGCCTATTCAAATTTATACCAAAATAGAGAATTTAATCTATCTAAGAATAATACTATTGTTCATTTACAAAATGTTAACTCTTATAAGTTCTATTTTTTAAAAAAAAAATCTCAAGTATGTAAACCAATTGAAATCAGAATAGTTAAAATGTCTTAGTAATAGTCTCACCCTTAGGACTTTATAAAGTGCAATTGTTGTTTCTTATAGTGAACAGAGGTCTATTTCCCTGTAAAGTCTAGCCCTTATTTTAAAGGGCTACCCTCTGGAGCTGCTTTCTTGGAGACATTTTTAAAACTTATTCTTTAATTTCAAATACAAGAGAAAAGCTTCCAGAACAATGAATTCAATCAATCTGAAAATGATCCCAAAGTAGCATTCTATTCTAGTATGTATTTTATTGCTTCCAAATATCAAAATATTAAACAGATTAGCTCTCAGACTTTGGTTGTCAAATGTATAATTGAGCCAAACACAATGAACACACATTTATTTGTTCTTCTTAGTATATGAAAAAGTAGAATTTGTTGCAATGTGGGTTGCCCTCAAATAATCCACCTGTCATGGGTAATGAATACAATGAATGTTTCTATGATAAATATTTCTTTCCTTACCAATACAGAGTTGAGTTTAATTTTAATTATGTGAATACTCTTGCTCAAGACTGTACATGAACAAAGGTATGCTGCATTTTAACTCAAGTTTGAAGATCACAACAAGAATGTTCATCAACTCTAATTTTATTTCATATGTTAATCTTTTCCTATATTTAATAATGCTATATACATACATTCAATATTTAGGAGATAATATTCAAGTATTTCTAGATGTATAATCACAATGAAGTAAAGCAAGACAAAAAATAATGGATGAGCCAGGCCATGGTGGCACAAGCCTTTAGTCCTAGAACTTGGGAGGCAAAGACAGGTGGATCTCTGTGAGTTCGAGGACAGATCAGTCTAAAGAACAAATTTCAGAACAGGTTCCATAGCTACACAGAGAAACCTTGTCACACACATACACACACACACACACACACACACACACGATGGAGAAATGTTAACAATTTTTTTCCACAGGAATGACAGCAGTCTGGACAGTGAGCCCAATTATTTGGTCATTACATGTAGTCCTGGCTGAAGGCCATGAAAGGTAAACTACTTTAAAGAGAAAGAAAGAAAAAAAAAAGACCTACAAGAAGATGTCATAAAAGGATGCTATATTCTCAAAATAGACCACAGAGACCACAGAGATTTGCATATTAGAAAACCAGAATGAAGAGAGTCAGAGTGATAAGTTCTGTTCTTAGGCAATGAGGCCACAGTGACTGGCAAGACCACTGAAGGTACCAGTGTAGTCATGGAACACAGGATCCAATGTAGATAGAGTCCTGGAGATTCTGAACACAGAGCCATTTTTCCCCACTGGGGCAGTTAAGATGAAAGCATGTCAAGGAAATACAAAATTAGACATTAGTGGAGCCAAGCCTGTTGTGGTGGTGATAAAGAAATGAAGAGGCTGAGCTTTATGAATGGACATAGTATTTTCTCCATAATGACAAATGGAAAGAAGCACAGGGTGTAGATGTATAGAGATGGCAAGAAATGAACATGTTTAAAAGCAAACACAGCAATATAACTAAGGCCCCCAAACCATAAGAAAAGACAACAAATCCAAGTAAACCAGTTGGGTCTTGATGTCAAGAATATTACTATAGAGAACAGCAGAAATAAAAAGGGTTGGATAATGTAACACTGTTGGGAGGGGACTGTTTTAATTTAGTTTCTCTTTTTTGGAGGGGGAAGAAATGAATAATTCCTAGATTCACTGATGATATTATTTAAGCATACTTTACTAAGAAATACTTACTAGTCCCACATAGGCCACTCTTTGTTACCAGCTTTCTTTAAGAATGCCAGAGAAGCATCCTCTGAGTTTTCTTTTTCTTAAGTACACATGAAAGAAAAGGCACAGCCATCAGTCAATATGCTAAAAAGAGCTATTGATTGTACTGAATACCCTGTGACTGGCATCTGATAGCCCAATTTTGAAGTTGCATGCAAATGTACTCTGAAAATACATCTGAAATTTGTGTTTGCATTTATGTGATAAAAATCAAAGAACTTTCATTTAGGTAAACATTAACTACACTTACTACAAATTAATATTTATAATGTAGTGTAGGAAACCACACTAATTCTAAGTTGTGCAATCTATATAGTTGCTAAGATGTAAATCAGAGGTATTAAAACCTAAAATGGCAGTATCTTTTAGAGCAATCAAACAAGCATACCTCTTGCAAAGCAGAATGACCTTACTCATGAACAAGAATGGTCATGCTCTGGTTGAAGCTGACAAAGACAGATTTTGAAACTATTGATATCAGAAGTCCTGTCATTTTGATTCACCTTGAATAATTTACTGAAGTCATAAAACAACATGGTGCTTGACAATTAGATCCCATGGCAGGAAACTGGTATAGTACTAATTAAACCCTGGAATCTTACTGCAGCTCCAGGTTATACACACAAAGGATTCTTAATGCACATTTATGTTTATTGCTGCACTCTGTTCACAACAGTCAGGATATCAGAATATCAGGATATCAAAATCAGCCTAGATGACCATCAATGGATGAATATAGAAAACGTGGTATATATGCACAATAGAATTACATTCAGCTTTCACGAATGCAATTAGGGCACCTGCAGGAAAATGGATGGAACTAGAGGTCAATATGCTAAGTGAAAAAGCCAAATCCAGAAAGACAAAAATCATGTTTTCTCTCATGCAGAATCTAGATTTGTTTCTGAATCTGTGCATGTATACAATATGTGTTTGTGAGACATGGAAGTAGAAAGACAACTTTGAAGGAAGGAAAAGATCTTAAGGGAGCAGAAGAGAGGGTAATGGAATGCATGTGGCCTGGAAGCAAAAGGGGGACTATCTGGCAGGAAGAAACCAGCTAGAGTAGGACCTGGGGGATGGGTGGAGGCAATGGAAGAGATGAATAGGAACTAAAGTATAAAGACAAACATGTATACAAAGGCCAAAAAGAATCCCACTACTTTATAATGATCAGCTTCTCTAGAGATAAAAATTTCTATATCCTCTATGTTGGGGGAACAGGCACTAATGACATAGAAAAAACATTTTAAAAGTACCATTTCAGATTGCAAGGACATCACTTAGTGGGTTATATGTTAAGACACAGTCAAGCTTGGTGCAATTTAGGATGATAACTAAATAAAAAATGTAAATTTACCAAATTTGAAACAAAAAATGAAAGCTATCATGTTATTAAAAGCTCAGTCTCACAATGATACTAAAAACAAATAAACCAGCAAGTAAAAAAATAGTAATTGCAATGGCTTAGCACTATAAAGTGCTCAAATATGCTCTTAATAACAAATACATATTACATGTACATAATATCATATACCATAATGAATCCAAACTCTTCTTAGTATATTGACCAGAAGAGTGAAGAAATGTATTTTAGAAAATTACTGACCACAACAAAGGTAAAATGAAATCATTTAAGTAGCAGGCAGAAAAGGATAGGGATTCAACAATTCTTAGACCTACAATGTTCAATGTGAGCGTCTCACCTATTTCTAATTTATCTTCATGTCACACAATGTGACAGTATATAGGCCATTTTCCCTTCCTCAAGAGAGTTCTCCCTTCTACATGTTACACATTTATGAACACTGATTTTTTTTGTCATCCTTTACCTTAAAGTCAAAGGGTCAAAACCTATAATTTTTACTTACATAAGAAAATACAAAGTATTTATTCTGAACTATTTAACATTAAATTACATTTAATATAACTTTGGTAAAATGTATTTTGTATTTTAACTTTCTGGTAACTGTCTACTTATAGACAGCATACATCTCTAGTCATTCTTCAATAGAAGGAATATTTTATTGTGCTAAGTAACATACTTTTTTACTAATTCTATTAGGCATCATTTTAGACCACTCATGCAAATATTATTTTTAGAAATGATTAGAAAACCATGGGTCCCTATATTTGTTGAACTGAATAACTTGGCAGTAAAATTCAGTTAAGGCTCTTGGCATGGGTGACACCTCTTCCCACTCTGACCTGCTGCTGTGGTAAACCTGCACCTCATCTGTGATTTCATCTGGTGCATAATCTCCACCTAATATGTAAATCTTATCCTCAATCCCAATTGCACCTGCATTAAAGCCTGCACATTCAAAAGAGCCTTCTCCTTTCCAAACACAAGTATCAGGACAAAAACTATACACCTTATAGGTGGAAAGATCACATATATACAGGGTGCAGTTTACTGGGACAGCTTTAATTAGAGTAGCATGAAAGAACTGCCCAAACTCTGCTACTAGTTCAGACCACTGGTCAGTTGTAGCATTGTATTTAAAAAAACAATCAAGGGATGGGTTAAATGAATCTGCAATCTCTACCTCAGATCCAAGAACATAAATGACATTCTGGCATGCACTGGCTTCTGGGTAATAGATGCCTCTGGGTAAAGGGCTAACTGATGTCCACTCTTTGGATAGTGGATCATAAGATTCAACATCTAAGAGACTTTTAATATCCTGTGATCCTCTAGTCTTTCCACCTATAACAAATAATCGATTGAGAGCCATGACTGATGTATGCATGGTTCTTGGAGTTTTCATGGTTGAAACCAAGAAAAACTCATTTTTGACTGGACAGTAGCACCAGGTCTGGTCAGTGGCATCATGGTAAGACTCAGCAATATGAAGTCGAACCTTCCTACAGCACTTCCCTTTACAACCACCTGTTAAGAATATTTTCTCTCCATAGCTAGACAGACTAGATCCTGGCAAATCAGTAAGATGTGATTGTGGCAGTATTTTCCATGAGTCAGTTTTAATATTATAGCAAAATGTATATTGATTTTCTCCATTTTCCTCAGTTTTATGGATGAATATATATTTTTCAGTTGTGGATGGTCGAGCATCAGGGAAGAGGCCACTAGAACCTTGCACACACTTAATGGCATCCACAATTATGTCAAAGCAGTTTGTGCTTTTGAGTAAACACTCTTCATTGAGCAGATAGTCTTGAAGTGTGTCCTCGGGTAACTGATGTAACCTTACTTTTGTAATCAAGTGAGGCAGGTGCTTTCTCCTGGACTCTAAGTTGTATTTAATCCATGTGATGACAACCTTCAGGACTATTTCTTCTTCAGGCACATTTAACTCATCTGACTCCAGACACTTTTGTAGCACTCCAAAATTCATCTCTAAAAACTCTCTGGATTTAAATAGCAAATGAAAGTGACGTTGTACGAAGCATAAAGTGTGAGTAAACAAATGGGTAGAGCCGTAGCTGTCTGACAGAGATAACAAATGCAAACAATTGACGAGACTGATGCTTTTTATTAAAAAGTCACTGCAAACTTTGGACAGGAAGGGGACCTGCAGAAAGGATGACAGCTGGAAGAACATTTCCACATTTTCATCTGTTATTCTTGCTTTCCCAGTATAGGCGTAGTCAAGAAATGCCTTTACTGCTTTGGAGGACAAGTTAGTAATGGTAACACTTCCATCATCTCTTTCTTTCATGTTTACTTCAAACATGGCCCTGAAAAAAATAAAGAAGAAAGAACAAGTAAACAGGAGTATTTTATTCTACAATTATTATCAATATTACCATACAGATGTTTCTTTACCCTTTAGTTCATTTAAAATGTTTATGATACCACAATTAATGGCATCCTAAAGAACTATTTTAACTTTTAAAATAGTTATATGCCATAATACTCATCTGATGATATATTATGTAACCTTCATATTAAAAATTTATACAATGTAGCTGAGATATAGTAAAAAATGAAAAAAAGGTTGTAAAGTGGTTCAAATTTTATGTACTGGTTAGTTCTTCTATATAACTCCATTTTCTTCAATGGAAAATTAATTACAGCTGTGATAATAACTACATTTCTCAACATACAATGTTCAAAATTTTAGGCTTCAAAAATTTACATCAAACACAGAACACAATGAGGGGCCCACTGCCACCAATGATTTTTGTATGGCTCTGTGGGAAAATCCATGAAATCAGATTCATACTGTATAAGGGACTGTGTGGCCAAAAACTAAGCCACACAAAGCGCCCCCCCCCCCAAAAAAAAAGGCCAAACCTATGTTTTTGTGGTAACAACCACTGGGTGACAGACTGCTCTCTGAATCTGAATAATCAGGTCAGCTTGGAAGTTAAAATTAAGAGATTGGGACTAACTTGAACTCAGGAGAGACAATAATTACAGGTTATTTGGAGGTACCAGTGAATAAAATGTACTTTACTGTACAGCCTGCATCTGTGCTGATATTATAAAAAATACTGTGGTGGTTTGAATGAGAATGACCCCCATAGGCTCAACTTTTAATACATGGTCCCCAGTTGGGGGAACAATTTGGGAAGGATTAGAAGGGGTGGTCTTGTGGAGGTGTGAGGTTTCAAAGAGTGATGCCATTAACACCATGTTCTCTGTCTCCTGCTTGTGGACTAAGATGTGACTTCTCAGCTGTTCTTGCCACCATACCTTTGCCCTGGCATCATGGGACCCTAACCTTACATTCTAAGCCAAATTAGACACTTTCCTTTACAAGCTGTTTTTTTTTTTTTTCTTTTTTTTTTTTTTTTTTATGGTGTCTCACCACAACAATAGAAAAGCAACTAAGACAAATACTATGTGTACTATACCTGTGCTATACATAGCTAAGTACTTGCTTGTACTTGGTGTTGGGGCTGACTTTTTACTTTGAGTCTGTCCCAGAGAACAAATAAATCTATTAGTGAGCACAGCATCTACCTGAAGAATATGACAGGGTCTTTCAAACAAATAAGGAAAAGAATGATAAAGAGACTTTTTATAAGGCTATTTGATACTTAATACAAAGCCAAGTAAATGTAGTGACAAAAATTATACATATGCTGTATGTTACACAAGGACCTTCAACAATGTATGTCAGTTTAGAAATACTAAACAGCAATGATTATATTATATATTATCTATGTATCTATGTACTACATAATGTACTGCATTATACTCAATGCAGTATTAAGTTCATGACCCCAAGAGACAGCTATCTCAGTGATAATGCAGCTTCTTCACTTATTGACTACATGACCAGCAGGAGGTTTCATTAATAATGAATATGAAAGGTATTCTATTAATGCTTGTTTTCTTGTATCACACATGAATATAAAAAGAGAAAAAAGCATGGCTAATGAAGCTGAAAAAATAAATTAAAATATTAATTTGCATTGTAATGGGAAGTTCTAAATAGATACATTATTTTAGCTAAAAGATTATTAATATGCTACAAAATAACCTCAGGTTACATATTCAAGGAAAATCATATCACTATCAACAAAATTACTTGCAAAATAAAAGGATTAAATGAGTTGTTTAGTGGGGAAGGGATGGAGAGGGAGAGCAATGAAAGAGGTATCTTGATAAAGGGGGTCATTTGGGAGAAATCTGGTGCCAAGGAAAATCCCAGGAATCCATAAGGATGACCCCAGCAAAGACTCCTAGCAATAGTGGAAAGGGTGCTTGAACTGGCCATCTCCTATAATCAGATTGGTGACTACCCTAATTGTCATCATAGAACCTTCATCCAGTAACTGATGGAAGCAGATGCAGAGATCCATAGCCAGGCACTGGGCTGGAGCTCTGGGAGTCCAGTTGAAGAGAGGGAGGAAGGATGATAAGCAAGGGGGAGGGGGAATATCAAGATCAAGATGGGGAAGCCCATAGAGACAGCTGACCCAAGCTAATGGGAGCTCACAGACACTGGACTGACAGCTAGGGAGCCTGCATGGGACTGACCTGGGCCCTCTGCATGTGGGTGATAGTGGTGTAGCTTTGTCTGTTTGTGGGGCACCTAGCACATGAGCTGGCTTTTTATAACCTATTCCCTATGGTGGGATGCCTCAGCCAGCCTTGATGCATGGACCTAGTCCTGCCACAACTTGATATGCCATGGTTTGTTGACTCCCATGGGAGGCCTTACCCCTTCTGAGAAGTGGATGGAGGGTGGTGGTGGGAAGTAGAAAGGAGATGGCGGGGAGGGGGACAGGAGGAGAGGAGGGAAGGGAAATTGTGGTTAGTATGTAAAATTTTTAAAAAGTCAATAATTTAAAAAATGAGTTGTTTAGATGAATAAGTGACTTAATCATTGCAAAGTATTAACTGTTACTATTTTAAGAAATCAAACATTTCCTAATAGATTGCTCACCTCTCCCCACATCTCTGTCTTTCTATCTACCCTACCTACCTATTAAGGTTTTATTTATTTTATGTATATGGGTGGTTTGTCTGCATGTATGCATGTGTACAAGTATGTGCCTAATGCCTGTGAAGTACAGAAGAGGGAATCAGATCCTCTGGAACTGGAGTTACAGATGATTATGAGCTACCATGGGAATTGAACCCAGAACCTCTGGAAGAGCAGCAGGTGCTCTTAATCACTGAGCAATTTCTCAAGTCCCAGGATTCTATGTGACTCAGATTTGTCATGTTATCCTAAGTAGTTTTCTGTAAGAATGTGATTCCTTTTCAGTTCCTTGATTTTACATCTTAATCATAATTTTTGCTAAGTAGTGCATACTTTTCTGACATTTTTATTTTACGTTATTCTTGCAATGTAGTTAATTTTATCAAATTACAAGTATTGTGAATTAATGGTTTATTTTAAGAGTATAAATGATTAAGTTTCTAGCCACATTTGTATATATTTTCATGTGAGCTATGTATTCATTTAACAAAATTCAATAAAGAACTGGTCATTCCTGCTATTTAAAACAGTCTAAAATTAAAAAAGAAAACTAGTATTTTATTCTAATAGTGATTTTAAAAGATGAATAGCAGACTCAAAAAGCTAGGAGAGGATATGAGGTTCTGCTGTGTCATGTACTATTTACTAATACTGCTAAAATTATTTAACTGCCTATCTGTTCAGCATTAGGTCACTTGAGGAAAAGTTAGGAATAAGCTGAACAAAATAGTATGTATGTGTTAAAGCATTTAAATGCCTAACCCAGTAGTCACACAAACAGCCCTTGTTAAACTAAATGGGTCAAAAAAGTCATCACTGGGAAGGGACAGCGGGGGGGAAGGAAGGGACATTGATATAGCTAGATAGCGATAAGGAGGCGGTAGAGAGTAACCAGAAGACAATATACACATGTAAAAAGCTCTCAAATAATTAACGTACTAAATTATTTAATTAAAAAATAAGTTTGATAAGAGCAGAGAATTATAAATTCAAATGCTTACAAAAACTTCTTGGTGTATTAGCTTGAAAACAATGAAGAGAAATCACACTGTATGCTCAGAACAGGATCTTTCTGTGTTTTGCTATGTTGCAAAACAAGAACTTTATTGACTAACATTAACTGAATGTAAAATACAGTATGCTAACCATTTATACATTATTTCTTTTATAAACTCCAGAATGACCCTATGTATTAATTCCTATTTTTATTTTTTCTAATTTCCTTGTCAATAGTGAGGAGACCTAGGTCTGAAGAAGGTAAGTGATTTACCTAATGTAATGATGATTACATGACTAGTAAACAGTGGATCTGGGACTTAGCTTAGGGAATATATACTTAGAAACTAAGTATTTAACCACTAACTAGACAGATGCCTGTGAACAAAAGGCCACATCTGTAAGGATAAGGGACACAAAAAAGTTACTGGAAGGAAAGCTGAGTTCAAAAGGAAGAGGGCAGACAAAGGTATCCTGGGGGTAACAGAGACTAACACTTGAGGCCCCAACATAGTTCAAAGAATGCCTAAGAGTATGTGAAGAAACAAAAAGCAGAGAAGGAAAGTTCTAGTTAAGTAAATAGCTAATTCAAGACTGCTAGAGCTTCTCTGGCCAAGAACACTGTGCAGTACTGAGTTCCAAATTCAAAGCAAAACCCCAAAGGCAGGTGTTCAATCAGTAGCAGATGGCAAGAACTGCTTGCTAAATAAAGTCTAGCTTATACAATTTACTACAATGGCAGTACAGCAGCTCTTGAATTACATGGTTATAAAAAGCAGGTTTTGAATTAATGACTGAAAACAGAACAGCACAAGGTTCACTTACCAATTTAAAAAAATTGCAAATGCAGTATACTTTTCATTTTGCTTCATATATTCAATCTTAACCTGTTTTTATCAAATTGGTTGAGAGAGTAAAACCCTACTTAATTTTTATTCCCAAACTGGGCACAATGCAGAGTACTGAAGTGAGAACTTGAGTTTACTGCGGTAAACTAGGAGGGCTGACTGCAGGGTGCCAGCACAAGATACCATTCTCTTTACTGGCCAGCAGACAACTGCCACAGCACTATGATAATACATCAGACCTTTACCCTTATGCATCAGAAACTCACTATCATCATGGCAATCCTCCTTCCTCAGCCTCCTGAATGCTGAGATTATAGGCATGAGCCACCATATGTGGAAGGAGAAATAATAAGTCCTTTGGACTCGAGTTCCTCACCTGGGAGATGGCATGGACACAACTAAAATTATTTTCTTCTTGGTCATTTTCTTTAAACTCAGCTTCTATTTTTGTTCAACTTGCCATTTCAACAAAGCTGACCCCATATGAACCCCACTCCCACCCAGAATAGCTCAAGGAACTAATTTTAAAGAACTTTGGGGATGGTGTCCTTGAAAGACTCTTATTTTTACAGCTGTAGCTTAAGAGTCCCTATTCAAACACTATTATTAAACTAGTTCTAATTAAGTCTTTTTATTAAGAATTAAAAATTGCTATAGCATGTTCAGGAGGCAGTGAGTTTTAAAATACAATGTAATTTTTTCCATATATAAAATATAAAGTATAGATGGGGGTAGAGTACCTGAAGAAGTCACTGCATGCTGCCAACACACAACGATGACATGGGATTATTTCTTCTTTCATTATTATTTTGAAATCATAAAAGACATTCTGTTCTCTAAAACTCTGTAGAACACTTAAAATTTTCTGCCCATGATCTTCTGATGCAAGGAAATTCTTTTTCTTTTCAGATGAGATTCCATTCCATGAGCCTTGTTCATCGAAATTGTATGAATTATCCATAGCCAATTCAACCGGTTCTTAGAACTGGAATAAAAAAATTAATGTTGTAGGAAGCTAATGAAATTTTCAGACTTAATTTGCCCTCTTCAGTCTGGCAAGATAGCTTATCAGGTAAAAGCTCTTGCCTTGCAAGTCTGGTGACCTAAGTTAGATTCACAGACCCCATATAAAGGTGGAAGAAGAAAACCAACTTCATACAGTTATCTTCTGACATCCACATGCTTATCAATACCCAATAATAAATAAAATGAATTTTAATCAATGTACTCATGGTGTGAAATAACAACAGAAATAATAATATGATAGTAAACTTTAAACATTTGATTTTATGATATTTAATAAAAAAATTCTTCTTGAACTTTTATTTGAATTGGGAAATATGTAATTGAAGCTTGATATCTATTCTCATAGGATTGACTGTAGAGGTTGTATAAATACCTACCTTCTTTAGGACTTCACTACATGCTTCATCTTATTGTTATTAAATAAATACTATTCCTGAAGTAGTAGTTCTTTTACTACTTTTACATTCTATACATGTGTTCCTCTTCTAAGCACAATCTTTTGTGGCAAAATCAGGATTAAAATGTTGATGCTGACATACTGACTTCGTATCTTCTAACTCTAACCCTAACCCTGACCTTCACAAGAGAACTGACTTAAAAAAAGCCACCCAAGTTTGGTGGTATTAGTTGATTTATGGCTGTGGTGGTTTGATTGAAAATGGCTCCTATAATTTCATAAGGAGTGGCACCATTAGAAGTGGCCTTTGCTGGAGGAAGTGTGTTGGGGGGTGTGTGGGAGGGCAGACTTTGAGGTTTCAAATGCTCAAGCCAGGCCCAGGGTCACTCTCTCTTCCTGCTGTCTAGCCATTTGGATGTAGAATTCTTGGCTCCTTTCCCAGAACCATGTCCGCCTGTGCACTCCCATGCTTCCTGCCATGATGAAAGTGGACTAAACCTCTTAACTGTAAGCCAGCCCCAATTAAATGTTTTCTTTTATAAGAGTTGTTGTCATAGTGTCTATTAACAGCAATAGAAACCATAACTAACAAATGGCCATTAGAAAGAAAACATTGGTCCCAGGTGTCCTAGTTGAAAGCAGAAAGAAAAACAGCATACCAATACTACTAATGTTTTAAAGGGTGTTCTAAACACAAGGTAAAGAATGCAAAAACAGTGGGAGGCTAGATTGTAAGCTCCTCCTCTGAGGACCTCTAACTTCCAGGTTCCATCCACAGAATACTCTAATTGCTCTAACTGCTGGACCCTGCTCCCACTCTGCAGAGCAAAAAGCCCAATCTCTAGACATAAAATCCCACCAATCTCCATCCTGAAAAGCTCCACCCTCTTCCTAAGAAGCTCTATATAAGCTGTTTATCCTGTTGAGTTTGCTGCTGTTTCTTGCTCTAGCAGAGGCAATTACCCTCCTAATCTCTTGTGTGAGGTTTGTTGTGCAGTGTGACTTTATGGTATTCCTTGGTTTCCAGTTTTCAGGATACCTTTCCATCTGAGCTGCAATACTTACACAGAAAATCATTAACTTCCCAAATAACAAACTCAGCTCCAAACACAAAAGTGTTAACAGCAAAAAATAAGGAAATAAACAGGAAAGAAGGCTGAGAACTAGGGAAATCAGAGAAACAGGGAAACTGATTCCCTAGTACCTCTCTGTTGTACTTATTCATTTCCTTAAAATCCCCTGACTTCTAGTGGCTTAGGACAATTTATTCCTCTCAGGGTACTTAGCTGGAGCTTCTTGCTTGGGGTTTTCACATAACTGTAGATAGTCAGATTGCAGACAGCTATGGCTGGAATCGTCTAAAGTCTGAGATCTTCAATATGGCCTCTTTAAGGAAAGGAATAAATAAGAACCACTGAGGAACTGGAGGTGGAGTATACAGTGTTACAATGGGCTTATAAGAAAAGGGAATGGTTTGTAAAAATTTTTCTTTTTTGTTTATGTTGATGGTGGTTTTGTGTGTGTGTGTGTGTGTGAGCTTGAGCGTGCATGTGCCATAGTAGGACAGACTCAGGTATCTGTCTTCCGACTTCTACCTTTTCTGAGACAAGTTTCTTGTTATTCAGCACTGTGTCCACCAGGCTAGCTGGTCTACAATGGGGACTGTCCTATCGCTGCCTCCTATCTCTCTTTAGGAGCACTAGGCTGATAGAGCCACTTCACATGAGATCCAGATCCACATTAAAGTCCTCATGCCTGCATGACAAGTGCTTCACCCACTGAACCAGCTCTTTGGTCTCTGGTCCCTCGATGATTCTTTTAAGAAATCCAACAAGGTTAGGCTAGAATAAAAAGTAGGTACTTTAAAAAAATGAGAGAAACATGGAATATATTAGTACACAAAGAAAAGAGGGTAGGTGTGAAGAGAACTTTTGACAATGATAATAATTTAAACTCAGCAACTATATCTGGTAGCATTCAGACCTGCCCCTGGCCCACCCAGTGCCCTGACAACATCATCCTATGTAAAGTCCCCTTTAAAAAAAAACCCTCCCTCTTCTCTCTCTCCCTTCCTCTCTCTTGCCATGAGGTAGTGTGCACCTCCTCTTTCCCTTTTCTCCTTCTCTTTTACTCCCAGTCTCCACCTGCTTTCCCTCTCTTCCCTTCTCCCTTCCCCCAATAAAACTTTCCACGTGGGTGCCGTGTCTGCATGGTATGAGTGAGTTTCCATCATGCCCCATGGCAGCTGCCCACCATGTCTGCATGGCGTGTCTCCCTCACCAGCCATGGGGCATGTTGGCTCCACCTGCCAAGGCCTCTTTGATGGAAATTCCCAACACGCCCCCGTGGTTGGGCATGGTCACACATGCTGGGCGGGACACCTAGTTATTTCCACCCAGTCATTTCCGGGTCAAATGTCTTGTGTGACCCAGGACCCTGTGGCTTTACGTGGTTGCATAAAGCACGCGGCGCAACCATGTTATCTATGTGCATGCATGGAATAGCCACTTGGGCCTGTGTGCGCAGGCACAGCTCAGCCTTTATAAGCCAGTGCCATGATTCCCTGGCCCCCTCACACACCACACACGTCTTTCCACAGGCCTATGCACATCTCTCTCTCTCTCTCTCTCTCTCTCTCTCTCTCTCTCTCTCTCTCCTCATCTTAATAAAACTCTTGTTAGTGGATTCTGTCGTGTTTCCTGACTTTTCCTCACAGGGTAAGAGCATTGCAAAAAACCAACACTCTCTCCTGCCGTTTTACAAAAATATCCATACCTCAAAGCAAAAAACTTGGGACCCTTACACAGTAAGTTAGACAACAGCATTATATATAAAAATTCCACTCTGTTAAGCGGTAAATATTAGTAGACAACAAATGGTTAGAATTTCTGTAGTTGCTTGGTGATACAAGCCTGACAGTACCAGTGAGAGACTAAGAGTTAGACAGACTTCCTGGAAGACAGACAGATAGGTTCTGGTCATGGCTAGGTAAATAAAGGTGGCAAATTTCCAAGATGGCTGGCTCCTTCTTCACACTCCTGACTCGAGACAAAAGCCTGGCAGCTTAAAGCAAAGGCCCTGTAGGGTTTTTTCTCAGCCTGCTGATGTACTGTCTCAACAAGTTCAAGGTTGGTTGAGGACAGGTTACACAACAGTTGTGGGTAACCATTCTATCTTTATTCAAACTCACCACCCTCAAATTAGGAGAAGAAAACTCTTCAGAGACTGTAAACATCCCAGCTCTGGAGAGGAGACTAGAGTTCCAGCTTGGCAGAGAGTCTTTTTCTCTGTGTGTCTGCTGCATACATGTGTTCTTACCCCCAGTAAATGCCTTTCTTCAGCTGCTGCTGATTCTGTCTGCTACCTGTTACCTTTGAGATTTTCCCTGTCTTTTAATTCTTTAACCCCTAGTCTGTATCATTAGGACTTTGGATAATCTCCATGTGTAGTGGCATTCCTGCTAAGCTCCAGGCTTGGCTCCAGAGAGCAGCACCTAGACCTAATCCTTCCTTTGTTTAAATACACCTTTTGTTTCTCTTACCTTTTGTTTTTCTTATTGCCCTATGTGAGTCTTGTCTGAGAGTCAAGGATCAGAGAGTCCCCCAAAGATCAAAGGCCTATGCAAAACTTGGTCCAGGAAACCCGGAAAACCAAAGTACCTGAGAAATCAAGTAATTTGCACCTGGCATTTGGTCTCTGGGAGCTCCTTTTGGGTTGCTTTGAAGGTATGGAAATTAACTATCTAAACTGTAAAAAAGAGTAAATAAATTTGTCCTAGGTGAAGGGAAGAGTGTTTCAGTCCTTTGAGGCTGGACCCCCCTGCAGCCATGAAAGGCTAGATTCATTCTTAAGATGCTTCTGTGTCTTCATTCCACCGACCCGCGTGAACCCCCACACTTGTGTAGCGACCACCCACATAACGACATCCATGGTTACTTCACTCAATATTGATATATCAACTATTTAAGACTGTCATTAACAATACTTTCTTCAAAATAGCAAGCTGAGACTCAAATTAAACAACATTCCTAAGAACAAAAACGCTGTGTCTGGTCCCTCAAGAAAGTCTTTTTCCCAAGGTCAGGCAAATTAGACAAAAGCCCCCATTCCTTCAGGGACTTGAAGAAAGATCCTGTTTGCTAAAAGGCAGTCATTGTGGCTTTTCTATTTCCATATCACTGTGGTGCCTATTAACTTGCCAAGGTCAGTGCTAGCCTCTAGGCTCCCTCCATCACTGATCACAAGGCCCCTTTCTCCAGTTCCCATTTAACCCTGGGCATCTTTCCTGTCCCTTCACCTTGCTTTCCTGGGAGACAGCCTTGGCAATTTGAAATAAACTTTTCCCCTTTTTCCCCCACAGAGTGCTACTTTGGATTTTTTTTTACAGTATCCTTTTTCATTCAGTATAGAAACATGCTTGTTCACTTGAAGTCCATGTTTTGTAGAGCACTCTTCCGCTCCATTTCAACATCAACCCAAAGCTTAGAGAGCAGTTTTAAAGCTGAGTGGTGGTAGCTCACTTTTTTAATCCTAGTACTTGGGAGGAAGAGACAAGTGGATCTGAGTTGGAGGCCAGCCTGGTCTACAGAGCAAGTTACAGAACAGCCAAAGCTACACAGAGAAACTCTGTCTCAAAAACCAGAACAAAACAAAACAAAACAAAAACAAAAAAAACAAAAACAGAAAAAAAAAAAAAAAAACAGAAAAAAAAAAAAAAAAAAAAAAAAAAGCAGTGTTATTTACAAGATCTTCATAAGGCACTGCTCAAAAGTTACCACAACAGATCACTTTTGAGATAGGGCCTCACATTGTTGGCTAGCTTTGAATTCAAGAAGGCTCCTGCCTATAACTGTCAGGTTTAAAGAAAACTCAAATTTCCCAAACTCCAAAAGGTAGTCCATAGTCCAGAAATGAGCTCAACCTGAACTACAAGAGCATTTCTAGTGGCCAGATAAAACTCAGCACCCTCAGGAACTTGTTAAACCAGTTCCCATCTGCCAAAGAGCCATTTCCCTTACCTCTGGCTGAAGGAACATATGGCTACCTATCAACATATCAAAAGTACATGTTGGCCTTAGATGCCCTCAGTATCTCAAATACCTTTTATACACTTCAAAGTCCACACTGACATCCTAGTCCTTCTCTTCTCCTCCACCCTAAACTCCCTCCAGCTCATGGGCTTCCCTCCCCCAGCTACTCCTTGTAAGGCACCTGAGACACAAGAGTGTCCAGGCCCCTCCCCAAGGACCTCCAACTGCCAAGTTCCACCCTCAGAACACTCTGTCCTAAGAGCTACATCCAGCCCCTACCCTACAGAGTAAAAAGCCCAAGCTCTGTACATGAAATCCCACCAATCCCAACCCTGGGAAGCTTCACCCTGAAGAGGTCCACCCCTCTATCCTGCGCCAAAGATACTCTATATAAACCCTGCCTTCTGCTCAGTTCTCTGCTGTTTCTTGTCGGAGCAGAGGCAGTCACCCTCTGGGTTTTTCCCTCCTAATAAATCTCTTATGTGAAGTTTGTTGTGTGCTGTGACTTCGTGGTATTCCTTGGTGCCCGAATGCCAGGTTACCTTTCCATCCGAGATGTAATGCTTACATTTGGTGCTTACATTTGGCTAGCCTCTCTTAGTGCCTGCATTTTTCCTCATGATCCAAGCTGCACTTGAAAGGATAATGGCACTGATTGTTCGGCAGAAGTCATGAGCCATGGTTACCAGAATTAGAATGGGCTTTTTTAGAGAGAAGAGGGGATAGGACAGGAGAAACCAGGCCTGGCAGAAAGAGACGGGAGTGTGTGTGTGTGTGGGGGGAGACAGACAGACAGACAGACAGACGGATACAGACACAGACACAGACACAGACACAGACACAGACACACACACACACACACACACACACACACACACACACACACGAATATGACACCGCTTTATAAAGGCCAGGACGCATCTGCGCACACAGGCCCAATCTCAGAGATCATGAGGTTACGTGACTACATAACTATGGGGTGTGGGTCACGCAGGACGTGTGACCTGGAAATGGAGATAACTAAGTGTCCCACCTAGCATTTGAGACCATGGGGCGTGGTTGGAATTCTTATCAGCACTAGGATCCTATCCCTCATCTCCAGTCCACCCACAACAGACTCACCTCCAGGTCACACCAATCTCTTGGCACCCCATCCACCAACAGCAATTGGGTGTTGTTCCTCTTTGGTCGGTGTAAACATTTGAGTCTGAGGAATGACCGTTGAGTGTCCAGCACTCCTTTGTTACTCCTGGAGGTAGAGGTGCCCCCAGCCACAGTCTTTAAGGCTCCAGCCAGCTCTCTTCACCTGACCCTATACCCCCACCCTTGGAGCTACAATCCTGCAGTTTCCTTAGACCTGACTGGGCTATTATTGTGTGTCTTCCTGCCCTCTTCTCCCACCCTCTCCTCAGAGCTGTCTACAATGCCACAGTTCCTCTAGGTCCTCATGGCTTTTTTGACTCTGTTCTCCAACCCTTTCCTGTGGATGACATCCCCATCTCAGAGCTTGGTTTTTGTCCTTGCCTTCACAAAAGCCCTGTTACCAGGCTTCCAGTCTCTCTGGCTTACGCAGGCTAAGGCCCTGATCCCCAATAAGTGTGGAGACAACCCACCGAACAGTTTGGTCCTCATTGACTCATGGGGATGCCCACAACTACAGGCTGCAGGGACATTTCCCTTCTTCTCATCCGTGGGAATGTGCCCATAGCCTCTAATTCCTCCTTAGAATGCCTCTAAGAAAATCTCCAGACTCAACACCTGGCATCTGATCTAAAGGGCCTTAAGTTTATTCGCTTTTGCAATCAAGTTTGGCCTCAATACTAGATAATCAATCCAGAGAGCCACCTAAAAGCCCCCTAGATCCTAATATTTGGGAACTTTGCAAATACTAGGAGTGATCAGGGAAATAAAAAGAGACTCCCCATTCCCAATTTTTTCTCTGCTCCAAGCCCTGTCTTTGTCTGGTTCCTCACCACCCTCCACCCCCCAACCCCCTCACTGTTTAAAAAACCTGTCTTTTAAGTTACCAGTTGATAGATCTGTAAGTTCATTGCAAAGTGGAAGCCAGGAGCCAAACCTAGCAACAGGGGGAGAAAGCAAAGCAGTAGGCCAGTTGCTCTGTGTACACATTCTGCAAATACTCTTCACTGGCTCAGCTCCCTCCTGCAACGAACGCCCTCTGTCTATAGCTAGAGCTCAAAATTTTCCTATCTCTAAGCTTTATTTGTTCTTATCTTATCAGATTCAGTTTTACAGTGATTTAGGTGTCTTTTAGATATGAGTGGCATTAGACTGTTGTTTTATGTTGTCCCACTTCAATTAAAAGCTGGCTCTGGAATTGGGGTATGGGGTATGGCTTGCTCCTCCCCCAACCAAGCATGTTTGTTTAAAAGATTTCCTCTAAAATCTCCCCTATCAGGTAAGCCACCTGACTATGTGACAGAGAAAGGAGAGCAAAACAAAATAAAGAGACTATTTCCAGTGGGGACTATTGCTACTCATCTCATACTCTTGGTTTTGGTTTAACTCTCTACAACCTTTCCTAAGGTATAGATCTTATCTCAAGATTTGTAAAACTACTGTATAAACTTTCTGTACCTAAAGATTTGCAAGCATATTGGAGATGCTTATAACCCTGTAAATTTTGTAACAAAGGGGTTAATTTAAAACTCATAACACCAGGGCTGACAGCTAAAAATCTACACATAGGTAATCTTAAAGGAAACATGTGGCTTGCTGCCATCTTAGTTCCTGTCCCCCGACAGGGACAGAGGCGGCCATGAGACAGACAGCGGGGTTGGAAAGGATGGGTTTTGCCTCACTCCCATCTTAAAAGTGTCCACATGACATAAGCTAACCAAGGTACAACTCCTCCTAGTTGTGAGGCCCAAACCAGATGATTCTTCCACTGTTTTTGATCCCACTAAAAAGCCTCTCCCTTATTGGCCTCAACCCACAGTTCCTCATCTTCCTCTCCAGCATCTCTGGTTTCCCTTTCTCCCTCCTTAGTGACAGGCTGCCCACCCAGTCAGGGCTGAGGCAGTCCCTAACCATGGTGGTGAATGGAATTACAGTATCCTGAAGGGGCATCCCTGCTCGGGATCAATTTCTAACTTGCCTCCTAGCTGGTCTTCACAAGGCCACCCTTAAAGTGGGAAATCACTAAATAATCTAATAGGTTATCCAGTACAAACATAAACCATCTCAATTCCTAGACCGCCTCACAAAGATCTTCTTACAATATACTAGTCTAGATCCTGAGACCCCAGATGGAAAACAACTCCTCAGACCCACTTCTCCCAGAGTTTCCTTGATACTAGGGCCTAATTTAAATGTCTAGAGAAAGGACTCCTGACTCCTCAGGCAGAAGACACAGCCGTAGCCTTTAAGGTATACCATGTCAGAGATAAAAAAGCCTGAAAGCAAAAATACCTGATTCTGGCTAAGGCTTTTCAAGTGGCCATGGCAACCATGTAGGTTCCCTGGCCTCCCAAAGCCTGAGAGCCTGTGGGTCTCTGTTTCAAAGGCAGTCAGGAGGGTCACTTAGCCCGGGCCTGCCTGAACCCATGTAAACCACCCAAACCATGTCCAAGGTGCCATCAAGAAGGGTTTTGGGATGTTGACTGGCTCCAGGTCCCTCGAGGCATGGGGACATCAAGTTCAGGTGGCCCTTCAGATGAAGTCCTATATCTGGCCACGGACAACTGAGGGGGCCCAGGTTCCCATGATTCTCCCTTGGCCTGACCACTGCCATCTCTGACTGGGAGTCTCAGGTAGACATCACAATATCAGGGTGATCTATCTCTCTCCTTCTGGACACTGGGGCCACCTTCTTACTCCTGATGGAGTTTTGGGGACCCACCTCTCCTTCTTGTTTATTATCACAATAGGGGAAGAGCCTCACCAAACCTCACCAAATATGTCATCCAGGCTCCATACCACTCTTTCTTCACAGCTTCAGGGGACTTAAGCCTCTTATCTCTCACCTCTAAGAAAGAATCTTCTGTATCCCATTTCTTCCCCCTTTAGTACTCTCATACTCTGGGGAGGGGGGACTAACAACAATGGAACCTACCACTTGGTTTAGGATCTCTGACTTAACAACTCAACAGTGGTTCCCCTTTACCCAATAGTACCCAACCTCCATCCTCTTTACCATCCCCTCAGAGGCCTTCCCATTTCTCTGTCCCAGATCTCAAGGGTGCCTTCTTTTCCATACATCTTGATCCACAGTCACAAAATACCTTTGTCTTTACATGGACTGATCTGGATACTCATCTTTCCACCCAACTCTCCTGGATTGTCCTACCCCAGGGGTTCTGGAATATTCCATATCTATCTGGCCAGGCTCTAGCCTCTAACTTGTTCTCTCTAATCTCTCAGCTCCATCCTGGAACTCTCACAGCTTCTCTATACCCTCCTGGGCTTCTCTCTTGCCTCTCAGCTCCCACTAGGAGCTTATAGAAACTCCAACAGAGTTGTTTTGAGACCCTTCCTCTCTTCCTCTATGGTCTTAGATTTTTATTAAAGCATCACTCTGTTACTAGGAACAGCTTGGCCTTAGTAGATTTTGATGGTCTAAACTGACATGCTCAATTTTCAATGGTGGCAACTTCTGCCACTACACAAATGGTCTGAAAATCCTTTATAGCTAAACTTGCTCTCTCCTGTACTTCTTCCTAACTCTACCTGTCTGGGGTAGCTCTTACAAATGGATATTTATTGTTCAAGAGACCCCCAACCTTTAACCAAGAGCCTGTTCTAATAGGGTCAGGAAATTGTTCTTTATCAGGCTATAAAAGGCTGATTCAGTTCCCTTTAACTCCCTTATTTATTTCTCCTTCACCAGTGCTTACCCCCATGCCTGTTTTTTCTATTTCTGTGTGATAATTCCTGCCCTTAAAACAAAAATAAAAAAAAAAACCCACAACAAACAGGTTTATGATAAGACTTAAGAAACAATGCTTTAATGAGGCATCAAAGCTACACCTCCATGTATTCATACAAGAATGTACTTCTTAGTGGTAGACAAAGAATCACCTAGGTGGTGTTAGTTTTAAAAGGACATGAAGGGTTCATAGAGAGAACCTGAGACTTAGCACTGGGTGGTAGGACTGAAGTTCCTAAAGAGAGCCCAAGAGGGGCTACTGGTGAAAATGCAGACCATTTGCAATGAGGGTCTAAGAAAGTTATGAATGTCTAAGAATGTGAAAGCTTCAGTAAGTTTAGGGGGTTTAAGAAAGTTTTTAAAGGTCTGAGGATACAAAAGCTTAAGAAAGTTCTAAGTTATAAAAAAGTGTTTTAAGGTTAAGGCATGTAAATAAAATTCTGAAGGTAAAAGAAAGTGATTTAAGATAATGAAAAATGTTTCAGATTTCTTTCCTCCTCTATGCTATTGTTATATTAAGATTTCAAAGATTTAGGAAACCTTTATACTTAATGGTTCTACCAGACCACTCACATGGTAGCGTCTGGAGACTGCTCACCAGCAGGTTGCCAAAAAGAGATACTTGTCCCTGTAACGCCTACATTGACATCTGAAACACCGGTCCCCTATGCCTGCTTTCTCTATGATCATAGAGATCACTGTTGACATTGAACAGAGACTTATGAAGGATGTCCTTACTGGCCCTGTAGGAGATATGAAGCATATTCAGGAAAGTGTTCTACCTTTTATGCAAAATGACCAATCTTTTATATTCTATTTGATGACTCATGGTACTGCAGATGGGATACAGAGGTCTTAGTAAACTTTACTATAGCATTTACCACAGCCATCCATCCATCAGGCATAATCAAAATATAGAGGGTACACATCCTACTCTCTCAACCCCTAGGTATAGACAGGTAGAAGTGGTCCAAAGCTCCTCAAAGGTCCTTACATCCCTAGTATCATCCCTTTTTGATACTGATCCCACCTCCCTCTCATATCATTTCACACATCTCTCTCTTCAATATCACAGACTGCTTTCACTCTTTAGGAACATGTAGTGGGTAGCTATTCCAGCTTGGTTCTGGAAGTTCCAACCCCCATTGAGACTCTGGCAACTGTCATGCCTACGAGGCGGGGCCAAGGGAGGTGTCTGGAGACCCGAGACCTGGATGGGCAAGCGCGCGCTCTGTTCCTGGACCCTGGACGGTGGAGGCTGACTGAGCAGAGCTCCAGAGAACACTGCTGGATTGCGATACACCTTCTCCAGACCCCCGCAACCTATCTATTCCTTCATTTGTAAGTCATCCACTAAATAAATCTTCCTTTTAACTACGTGGAGTGGCCTTTATAATTTTCCCCAATAGGAACATGCTTTGTGAGCACACTGAATTCCACAGACAACAGTAATTCCGTAATCCTTGGTACTACCTCCTAGCCCCTATGCCTAAACACCCACAATGCCTTGATTTTCTGTGGCACTTAGGTTTATCACTACCTACCTTACCTGTTGGGTAGTCTAGGACTTGTGCCCTGGAGCTCCTTGTTCCAAAACTAGGGGTGGTACCTGGTAAAGAACTTGCCAATTCCTATCACAGGGTTTATAGCAGCATGGGATGACAAATAAGCAGTTTGGGTCCTACGCTTTTTGCAGTCCTGGGTACAATCACCTAGCTATGTACCATCTGCTTTCCTGTCAGTTCATCCAGGATCGCCAATGGGTGGCTCAGACCATCCTTATATTTCAGGGCCAAATAGACATCCTCATGGCCATAAGTGCTACAAAATCAGCAAGAATTAAATTTACTAACAGCAGAGAGAGGTGGTCTTTGTCTCTTCCTCAGAGAAGAATGTTGCTTCTGTATCAGTCAGACCTGACAACTCCAGATAAATCTTCAAGAAACAGCTCGCTGCCTCTGGCCAGTGGCTCACTGGCAAGTTTAATATGGAATTGGATACTACCCTTTTTAACCCCCTTTCTCCTCCTTTTCCTAATCCTACTAGTTGAACGCTGCCCTATAAACATCTTGTCTAGATTTTTTTCAACAATAAATTCAAAACATTTCTAATCAGACTTTTAATCAGTCACTACCCTCGGATTACTGCTCCCAGCTAGAGCGAGAGGCCAGCAACTCCAGTTACACCCGATGGCGAAGAGCAAGTCTACCCACACAGGACTTCAATGACCTATCCAATGGCAGTAGACTATGATGACCCTATCCAATGGCAGTAGTCTATGATAACATCACTCCTCTTTCCAGTAACCTGTTTATCAATAACAAACAAAAAAGAGGGGAAACATGTTAAGATCAATCTGTATGAGTCTATTTAATGGGTAATTGGGATTTATTAAGATATAAATTGAGAAAATACACTCACGAATACAGAACAGAGTAAACAGCTGAAGTCGTCCTCTGTTCTTTCTGGTGCCAAAGCACCTGGCCCTTGGATCACAGGAAGAAAGAAACATGTGATGCCTCTCTCTTCTCCTTAAAGAGATCATGAACAAAGGCAAGAAACACCATCTCCTTCCCACTCTTTAGCCCAAGGTCATAGGCCAAGCAAATACCACTACAGGACTGTTAGCCACTTGGGACACAGGAGTGGCCAGACCCCTCCCTGAGGACCTCCAACTGTCAGGTTCCATCCACCACAGAACACTCTAACTGTCCTAATGGCTGCACTCAACACCACCCTACAGAGTAAAAAGCCCAAGCTCTGGACATGAAATCTCACCAATCCACCTTGGAAAGATTCACCCTGAAAAGGTCCACTCCCAACACCAACCCCCGCCCCCCAAAGGAACTCTATATAAGTCCTGACTTCTGTCAGCTCTCTGCTTTTTTTTTTTTTTTCCTGCCCTAGCAGAGGCAGCCATCCTCCAGGGTTCTTCCATCCCAATACATCTCTCTGGAAAGTTTGTTATGTGCTGTGACTTTGTGGTATTCCTCGGTGCCCGACTGCCAGGATACATTTCCATCTGAGACGTAATGCTTACATTTTTCATCATTACAAGCTGACTGTTTTACTATTCTGGGCTCTTTCTATTCTCTATTTCTGGCTAGTTAGTATCATTTCTTCTCATACATAGCCCTAGCCATGTCCACCCTGCTGACCATGTTCAGTCTACTCTCTCCTCTCCTCTTCTTTTCTCTCTGCTTTGGATTCTGGAAGATGCCTCTGAATATTTTCTCTTATGAACAAAAAGAAACAAACAAAACAAAGAAAAAACCACTTTTCCCTTTACCACACTGCAGAGCAGTTATGTCAGCAGTTCCTTTACTGCTCCCCTCTTGCTTATACCTGGGGTGAAACACTCATTGATATCCCAGGTTTCTGTACCAGATACATGTGAGGGGGTACAGAGAAAAAAAAAAAAAACAAAAAACTACCAACTTTACTGCTCTACAACATGGTTATGGTTTTTATTGTAGATATGAGAGAGAGAGCAGCCAGAGGCATCTGGAAGAATTTACTATATATAGCAGGCTAATCTTTATGGCAATCCTTTACCTCAACCTCTTATGTATAGGGATCACAGGAGTAATCTGCTCCATGCTTCCTCTTAAGCCAGATTCTAAATTCATTCACTCTATCTGTGCTATTTCTTTATTACTACTATGCAGAAGAACACATATGCTAAGTGTTCATGGAAGTAACTTCCAAACACAGACTATATTGAAATTATAAAAATTAGTTTAAAAACTTAAAATCTCAAGAGTTAGGCTTAACAACAAATCCTTGTTATAAAGCAATGACACAAAAGCATGTGCTACCCGAAAAAAGTAAATTCAACTAAGGCTGGGCTGAGTTTGATCTCATCTGGGCTTTGTTTCATGATAGCCTCCCATCACTGATCTCTAAATATGGAGTTTATTATAGATATTAGTTATACAAAAGTACTGTATTGGTCAGGGTTCTCTAGAGTCACAGGACTT